TGCAGGTACAGGGGTGATAGGGTAACTCAAAGTTTGGAAAGATCAATATAATTTTTTGTGGCTAGGTATAATAACCTTCCAAATAAGTCTCTTGTTGCTTGTGTCTCTTGGATCTTCATATCTTTCCCAGTTAACTCCACTTTTACTGTTGCAAATTTGTCCACTCTACGCCGTGGTATTGGTTTTTCAAATCTACTTGCTTCATTAAAACTGCCTGTTACGAACTCATCGCACTATTTCTGGCCAATATCAGAACATTGTGTCAACTCTTCTTTCACTTTTTTTGAAACTGCAGAGCCAGTTGAAATGCAATACAGATTTTCATCACTAACAGTTTCATAGTGATATATTATAGAAATAAAGTAGAGCATTTGATGACAAAACCCTATCACTCAGCTATAGTACTCACCACTAAATTATAATTCAATATGTATTATATAGAATGATAAAAATACACGTAAATGGTTAATCTTGACAAGCTTTTCCTGTAAACATAGAAAATATAACTCTCAGCTGTTATGTACAATATTTAACCCTTTGCCATAGGTTTTGGCCAGGCTGTATCAACTAAGAAATGGTATTTTGTCTTACTCATATAATATACATTTCAAAAATACTATCAAACCTTTTGACCTCAGACTGGTGATTAAACCCCCTAGCTCTTGAACTAAAATGATAGTGTAGTAGATGTAAGTTAGGTAATAATAATAATAAACGGTTTATTAATAGAGTTGCAGCCGGAGGCTGAAAATATACAGACTTACATTTGATTTAGACATGATGATATAATATGCATTGAATACATTTACAGGGCTGTACAGTACATAAATCAGGATTTGTTTATTATTTTAACAATTGGATGGTGCTGTTCTTATATCTTTTGGTGCGGGCTCTTTTGGGTTGAATTTTGTTGTAGTGGCGAACTGAGCGAGGTGGGTGGGGGCTGCCGGTGGCAGGAGGTGGCGATGACGAGGGTGGTGCATTAGTTGGCTGCCAAACCTTTCCAGTGCTTGGTGGTGGTCACTGAGGGTTGACATTTCCAGGGTGGAGAGAGCGTTGATGTAGCCGGAGTATTCTGCGCCGAGCATGATTCTCCAGGCCCTTTTCTGTACCTTCTCTAGCCGACTTTGTTGGGTAGAGTTGAGAGAAGACGACCAGGCTGGTGACGCATACGTCAGTTTGGGAAGAATAAAGGCGTTGTAGATAGTCCTCAGCTCTGGCGTGGGTGTCCCAAGTGACCTAAGTCGTCGTAGCATGTAGAGACGTTACGAGGCTGCCTTGACTGTGTTATTTACATGGGCCTTCCATTCCAGTTTGTTGTCTATAGTTACACCCAGGAGTTTGGCAGACTGCACCAGCTGGAGAGGATGGGCACCCACTGTGACTGCTGGAGTGGTGGCGGTATTGATGTGCATGACTACGGTTTTGGTGTGGTTGATGGTGACCTTGTTCTCCGTAGTCCATGCCTGTAGCCTGTCCAGGATGCCTTGCAGCGATGAGCAGTCTGGTGCGTTGTCCACTGAAACCCCCACAGTGCAGTCATCCACGTACTTCCACCTGTGAGGAGTGTCCGATAGAGCGTCGTTGATCAGGATGAGGAAGCACAGTGGTCCCATCTTGGTCCCCTGGGGAACACCGCAGGTGAGGTGTTGGAATGTGGAGTCCACTCAAGAATTCAGTGAGCCACGAGACCAGGTTGGTGGGGAGCCCTAGTGCAATGGCCTTGTTGATAACAGTGCAGTGATCAACAAGGTCAAAGGCCTTCCTGAAGTTAACAAGGGCAACGGCCAGTGATGTCTTACGTTTCTGCAGGTTTTTGTGGAGAAAATCCAGAAAGCTCACTAAGCAGTGTGATGTAGAGGAGGTCCTCATATTGCAAAATTGCTGTGGATCAATTGACTGATAGATTCTGGCAAATGCCCACTCAAAAACAAAGTCCTCACAGAGTAGACTGGGTATGGGGGTAATGGCAACTAGCCTGAGGTCGTTAGGGGACTTTGGGGTGGTGACCTTGGGGATGGGGGTGACAAATGCGGTTTTCCATTCATTTGGGCATTTGCTTTGTCTAAGGGATGCATTAATAATAGAACAGAGGGGAGTGGCAAGTTCGACTGCAAACTCCTTGTATATTTTGAGTGGGAGGTCAACTGGGGTCGTGGAGCGTTTGGATTTAAATTTCAGGAGTTTGTTGGCGATTTCATATGGTTGGACACTGGGAGGGGGGGAGGGGGAAGGTAAGTAAGCCGGGAGGAGAGTGAGGTCAAGACTGGGTAAGGTATGACATATGGTAGCAAAATGGTTATTAATTATCTCAGCTGCCTCCTCACTAGGTAAATGTGAGATGAAAGGAAGTGTGGGAGACTGACGGTTGAGACCACAGAGATCTTTTACCTTGGAGTACCACTGACCGATGCCGACTTCCTTGAGGCCGTGCACTTTCCTGGGATAATAAGTCTTCTTGGCCGACTTGATTTCCCTGATGACCTGGTTACGTAGACTTTTGTACAGGCGGTTGTTGGTGTAGTATGCCTTGTTGCGCTGCTCAATAAGTCTTTTTATGCGGGGTGTAATCCACGGGACATCATCGGGGTGGATCCTCAGTGTTTTGGCTGGAAAGAAGTGGTGGTAGGCTTTGGTGATAGTGTCCAGGTAATTATCCCACTTGTTCTGCACATCGTCTACCGTGATCACTTCAGTCCAGGGATACCGGGTTATCCATTGTCCAAAACGCCGCAGAGCAGAGTCGGGGGTGGGTCGGTAAGTCCTGGTGGCAACTGGCGGTGGTGAGAAGGTGGGGGTAGGTGACCACAGCAGGGACAGGTGTGGGCTGCGTCCCATGGGAGGCAGCGGCTGGGGGGGAAGGTAGTGGTTACCGAGATCAGTCATAATGAGGTCAAGGGTGGCATTGCCATGTGTGGGAAAGTCAACTATTTGTGTAAGGTGGAGGTGTTGGGTGATGTCACTGATGTCTAACTCATTGAAGTCACCGCATATCACTAGTTTAGCACATGGAAATCTGGATCTCAGGGAGTCAGCAGTGTCTATAATATGAGTAATCAGTACATTGGCGGTTGGTGCGCGGGGGGGATGATAGCATACACAGACAATGAGGGAGGCAAGCTGGCGGGGGTGGGAGGTGGGAGTGACCTGAACCCACAAGGCTTCTACATCTTCAGGTACATTAACACCTAGGGGTGATGGTTTGAGGTCACTGCGACAGTACAGAACTACACCACCACCTCTCCTGTCCTTTCTAAGGTGGTGAAATAACTCATAGTTTTCTATGGCACAGATCTCAGGAACAATTTGCCACGCCTCGGTAATCGCCACAATACCTGCACCAACTGACTTCACTGTGACACTGACCTCCTCCACCTTGTTGCATAAAGATGTGACATTGGACAGCAGTAGGGATGGTAGGCTGTACCATAGTCGCGGCACTTCATAGCGAGTACACTGTCTTTCAAGTACTGGCTTGACTTTCCTATGCTTGCTCGGTGTGATGATAGGGATTCGTCTGGGAATGCGGCGACCCCGTCTGCAGTCGCGGTTGTGGAAGATACTCAGCACCTTTAGTAGAGTGATGGTGTGGGGTGGAGGATAGCCAGCACCAGACTTAAGAACATAAGAACATAAGAATGGAGGAAACTGCAGCGGGCCTATTGGCCCATACTGGGCAGTCCCGTTTACACCCAACCCTTATTGCTCATATGAGTATCCAACCTATGTTTGAAGCAATTCAGCGTATTCGAATTAATGATGATATTTGGTAACTTGTTCCATTCATCCACTACTCTGTTTCCAAACCAGTGTTTACCTATTTCACGCCTAAATCTAAATTTGTCTAATTTAAAACCATTGTTACGAGTTCGCTCCTGGTTGGATAATTTGAGTACCTTTGTAATGTCCCCTTTGTTTAGCCCTGCCTTCCACTTATACACCTCTATCAGGTCGCCCCTCGCTCTACGTCTCTCAAGGGAGTGCAAATTAAGATGCTTTAACCTGTCTCTATACTCAAGGTTCCTAATGCCCGGGATTAGTCTTGTCATTCTCCTCTGAATTCTTTCCAAGGATTCTATATCCATTCTGTAATACGGTGACCAGAACTGAACTGCGTAATCCAGGTGTGGTCTCACAAGAGCAAGATACAGTTTTAGGATGACCTCGCTAGTCTTGTAACTAACACTCCTTTGTATGAACCCAAGTACTTTATTAGCCTTGTTACGAGCAAAAATACATTGTTTACTTGGCTTAAGGTTCCTACTTATCATTACTCCTAAATCTCTCTCGCAGTCGGATTTCTCTATGGCATCGTTGTTCATCTGGTACCTGGTTTCCCTGTTTACATCTCCTATACTGAGTACTTTACATTTGTCGACGTTGAATTTCATCTGCCATTTTTCAGACCATTCGAAAAATTTGTTTAGATCTTCCTGTAGTTTTGCCGAGTCCTCGTCAGATTTGATAACACGTCCTATTTTAGTGTCATCAGCAAATTTACTTATGTTGCTGTCTATGCCGATATCTATGTCGTTTATGTATATAATAAACAATAATGGTCCAAGTACTGAGCCTTGGGGAACTCCACTTGTGACGTTGCTCCAATGGGACTTAGTGCCGTTAATGCTTAATTGCCCTCCCCCCATATGCACAACCACAGTTTTTAACACAAAGCGATTGATAACTTCGTGTTTTCTTTTTTCCTATGTGATTAACAGCATATACATGGATCACTATAGATAGATAGATAGATAGATGGATTTAACTTGTGTCTTTACTAATGCTCCCAGTTTTTGTACCTCTTCTCAGACCTAACTTTTCATTTCTCTTATCCAATCCAGTCTCTTCCTTCCCCTGGCTCTCCTTCCCTTAATTTCACTTATCAATACCTCTACCATTAGCTTCTCATCACAAATTTTATGTTCGCAGTGTCAAATTTTCTTAATATATAATTTTTCAGGGCTTTTATCGTTACTCTAATCAAAGAAACGTTACTTTAGGTGGGCAGAGGCAGCAGGACTGTGGAGGATGCCTGAAACGCGCGTGGTGGCGGTTGGTCGGAGGGCGAGAGTGAAAGACTTCCTCCTCCACCACACTTTCCGCAACACTCTCCACGTCATCTACCTAGCTTTCCAAGACCTCATCCCCCATGTCTCACCACACCACGGTAACTCACGCCTCATGAAGATCACTGGATTGGAAGGTTAGTACTTGCAATTACATTTTTGTAACCATTCCTAATACTTACCCGAAAAAACTCATTTCAGATATTCATGTGGAAGGAAAGAATCCTAGTCACCATTCATCCTAGTCACCATTCATCCTAGTCACCATGAGTTCGACTAAAACAATTTTGTAGCTATCTGTTACGGCTAAAAATACGAACACTAAATGAATGACCCATAGAAAAAATTCGAATAGCTTCTAGTGATGTGGCTTTTAAAACCACTCGTGTATTAAAATGGGAGCTCATGGCCATAGCCATAAATATATTCATATAGAAATTTAGCTTCCCTTGCTAAAATAGATTTTAAGAAAATTTATTAATTTACACTAAAAAGATTAACATATTTATACAAAAAGCTGCAAAAAACTTTTTTTTTTTTTTTACGGGAATTAGCCCACCCGGGCACAGATCAAACGACTCACAACGGAGCCTGGGGGGCGAAAAAAAAAGAACGGAAAGAAATTGAAAATATAGAAAAAACGGTTATAGTGTATTAATCTACACCACGAAGATGCCGGAAAACCAGCTTTTTAAAGTGAGACAGATTGTAAGAGCATGGAAACACAGAAGAAGGCAGAGCATTCCACAGTTTGCTGTGTGAGGAAAGAAGGAGGTAATATAACGGGTTATTCTCGTGTGACCGACATCCACAGAGAAATGGTGGGCACCGCGGGCAAGACGTGTGTTACGAACCCACGGCCTTGCCGGCGGTACACAGGATGCCAAATCCACTGAACATTGCCCGTTAAAGTACCTGTAAAAGAGAGAGAGTGAAGCAACATTGCGGCGAAGAGAAAGGGGAGAGAGATTGTCGACTAAAGGAGGAGAGTTAATAAGACGAAATGCCTTTGATTCCACCCTATCTAATAGTTGGACAGAAGAAGAGCCACCCCAGATATGAGAGCAGTACTCCAAGTTAGGACGAATGAATCCCTTATATACTTGGAGCAACTGCTTAGGAGTGAAGTAGCTGCGGCATCTGTACAGCATTCCCAACTTTCGGGAGGCAGCTTTAGTTATACTAAGGATGTGTGATTTCCAGGACATATTGGACGAAATGGTGAGGCCTAACATATTTATTTCAGAATTTGGGAGGATGATAGCGTCCTGAAATGTAATTGGTGGGAGATCGTCTAATTTACAAAGTGTAATTGGTAAATATTAAGTTTTGTTACTATTGACCTTAACCAAGTTTGTATCTCCCTGTTCAGAGATGCTGCACAGATCCGCGTTGATAGAAGTAATGATATCAGTTCTAGAAACAGATCTAGTTTGAGAGTTAGGAGGAAGGGGAAAATGTGAGGAAGAATGAAGAGTAGAATCATCGGCATAAGAATGGATAGAATTAGTTGTAGTGTGAAGTAAATCATTGATAAAAAGAAGGAAGAGAGTTGGTGAAAGAACAGAACCCTGAGGGACGCCACTATTGGTAGAGAAAGAGCGAGAAATCAATCCCTCGACAACAACTGCCATGGATCGATTCTCAAGGAAGCTAGAGATGAGAAAACAAAGCGGGGGAGAGAAACCAAAAGAGGGAAGTTTAGATAGCAAAGACTTGTGCCATACCCTGTCAAAAGCTTTGGAGAAGGTCGAGGGCCACGACAAAAGTTTCCCCATAATCCCTAAGAGAGGATGACCAAAGGTGGGTGCAATAGGAGAGCAGATCACCAGTAGATCTCGCCTGGCGAAAGCCATACTGGTGATCCGACAAAAGAGAAAGGCGTTCAAGGTGACGGAGAAAATGGGAGTTCAAGATCTTTTCGAAAATCTTAGAGAGAGATGAAGTTAGGGCAATGGGGCGATAGTTAGAGGGATTAGAATGGTCACCCTTCTTCGGGATGGGCTGAACCAAGGCATGCTTCCAAGAAGAAGGAAAAGTTTTGGTTTTGAGGCAAAGGCGAAAGAGGCGAGCAAGCACAGGGGCCAGGGCTTCAGCACTCTCCCTCAGAACACGAGGGGGTATTCCGTCCGATCCATGCGCCTTACTCACATCCAACCTGGATAACACACCGGCAACCCTGCGAGTGGAAATTTTCAGTAGGAGGTGCAGGGGTACGAGGGATAGAGTGGGAATCGTCTGAGGTGGAATTACAGGAGAATAAGGTGCCAAAGAGGTTGGCTTTGTCAGGGTTGGCTATAGAGTTATTGGGACGGAAGAGGGGAGGAAAAGAAGGCGTGCAGAAGTTGTTACAGATGTTTTTAGTTTAGGACCAGAAGGATTTACTAGAGGAAGAATTAGTCAGGACAGAGGTCTTTCTTTTAATAAAATTCCGCTTGGCCCGACGAAAAATAGCCTTACAACGATTCCTAGAAGTAATGAAAGAGGTGTGGGTAAAAGGAGAAGGAGATAGTTTCATAGCTCGATATGCCCTATCTCTCACCCTGCAAGCAAGAGAGCAGGAGCGATCAAACCATGATTGTAATGTGAAAGTTTTGGTAGAAGATGGTATAAATGCACTCATACCGCCCTGTATTACCCCAGCAATGCTGTCAGCACATACTGAGGCATCCCGAGTGGAAAAGCAACATTCATCCCAAGGAAAGTCTGTGAAGAATTCTCACAAGGATTGCCAGCTTGCCCTCCGATAGTGCCATAGTTGACGTTTAGAGGGGGGTGGGGGAGGTGGTCGTGCCCATTTTGATTTAATAGAAATAAAGCTGTGATCAGAAGACCCTAAGGGGGCAAAAATTTAGTATGAATAGTGTGAGGGGTTAGAGGTAAAGCAAAGATCAAGAATGTTAGCAAGTTGATCGTGTCGATCAGGAATGCGTGTAGGGTGTTTGATTATTTGTTCCAAATCATTAAGTAAGGAAAAAGAGAGTGCCTCAGCTCCACCTGGGTCATCCCTTGCAGAGCCAAGCCACTCTCTGTGATGTACATTGAAATCCCCTAGGTAGAGGATCTCGGTGTTGGGGTGTGTGGATAGCAACGGCTCATGGCAAGAAATGAGATAGTCAAAGAGTTCGAAATAGTTGGTAGAGTTGGGAGAACAGTATAGGAAACAAAGAAAAATAGTCACAGTAGGTAGAGATATTTTTAGCCAGATGACATCATAAAGGGGAGATTCATGATCCGTGAGTCGGGCTATAGGTGTACGTGTATTGCAGTAGGCGCATACACATCCCTTAGAACGGAAGCAGGTATAAAGGTTGTTTTTAGAGACTTGAAAAGGTTTGGGTGAAGCTGCTTTGGTTAGTTGAAGTTCGGAGAGTAGTAAGAAGTCGGGGGAAGAAGTTGATAGATGATGCTCCACAGAAGAAAAATTGGATCTCAGGCCACGAATGTTGGAAAAATGAAGTGTGAAAAAAGCCGATCCTCCAGCAACCGTGGTGGCGTCAGTTGAGGCCCCAGTAGCTTGATGATGATCAGGTCGGCCCTTGGGTCCACAACCTTCCCGACCAGTGGGACCCATCCGAGAAGGCCCCGCTTCAGTATTAATATCAACTGACATAGGAGAATAAAATAGAATGAATAAAAAAGATCAAGAATGAGTCCGGTTTTATTTGTGGTGTTGTCAATAGTAAGAGAGACAGTTGAGACCCTGCAATTGTGTGTAAATGAGGTAGAAAGATATATCAGCAACCTGGGACCTGGTCACAATTTTCGTGATGCCATATAGCAGCAGGATCTACCATTAGACAACACATTATGCTTCCAATATCTTCCCAGGCGGTAGTACCTCCCTGTTTGGTAGCTGCCTACTACCAGTACATAATTCTATCTTTTATGGTGTTTGTGTAATATATTTTTAAAACTTGAACAGGACTTCGTGAAATCGACACACACACACTACTACTACTACTACTTTGCTGTCACTCGGAATCGAGTATGATGATCATCCAGCTATGATACAATGATATGAGTTATTCGAGATGTCTCCTAGGCTAGTGAGTTTTGAGGTGACTAAAGAGCCCGATACGGGACCCGCGGCGTCGTCCACATTCGTTGCACATGTGGAGGGATCCATCTAGTACGGGAGGGGCGGTGGCAGCGTCTTTCCGACGTTGGCGCTGGTCTGCCTCGCTTTGCAGTCGGGCTAACACGAAAGTATTGACACCTTCTCGTGTGGTGCTCCTCCAAGCGTTACGATGTGGAGTAATCGACTCCCAGGCGAGAGGGTCGACTTAGCATCTTTTCAGGTTTGTCTAAAGACTATCCTTATACCTTTTCAATTGCCCGCCGGAGTTACTATTCGCTATGTGACTGTAAAGTAGTTGCTTTGGCAGTCTAATGCAGTCCATGCTTCTACAGTTGGTATCAGCAAGAATACTGGCATTTGTTCTCATGTCGTCCCAGCGAACTCGGAGGATTGAACGTAGACTACGTTGGTGAAAGTTTTCAAGTGCATTGAGGTGCCTCCTGTATGTTACCCATGTCTCACTGCCATATAGTAGGGTGGGCAGGACCACTGCTTGATATACGTGCAGCTTTGTTGATAATTTCAGCTCCCTAGAGCTGAAGACACGATTTCGAAGTCTGCGCAAGGCTTGAGATGCACATCTGATCCGATGCTAAATCTCTTCATCGATATTTGCGGTGGTGGACTGGTGGGAGCTGAGATACCGAAAGTGGGCAATATTAGAGGGGGTAGTACCGTTAAGCTGGATGGATGGTGGAGGTGTGTCAGAACCAGGGGTTGAAAGAGAATCTGAGTATTACATACATTCACCTCAAGGCCCAAGTGTGCATACGCGTCTGCATAGGTGTTCAGGATCACCTGCAGGTCGTGTTCAGTGTGAGCAACAAGGGTGGGGTCGTCAGCATACTGAAATTCAGTAATTGAAGCTACCGACACATTTGTTGTTGCCTGGAGTCGTCTTATGTTGAAAAGACCCCCTTTCACCCAGTACTCAATGTTCAGCCCGATGGCTAAATTGGCACTGGCACGAGTATGGAAGGCAGCCAAGAAGATGAAAAGAGAGTTGGTGCCAGTACCTTGTTTAACCCCTGTTTGGATGGGAAAGAACTCTGACTG